CGCTGTATGCCTCACTCCTGCGTGGCTGGCCCAAGTCGGCAATCCCACGCACAAGCGGGAGGAACCACAGCTTCTCGCTCCGGACCAGAGGACCTCAGGAAGCACTGACTATCCTGCAGGGCTGGGTCCTGGGGAAAGGCAGTCGATTCCATCCAGAGCCCATGAGGACGCGGGACCAGAGAATAAACGGCATCATGCGTCCGGGCGATCCAGCCTATTCCCTTAGACCCCAGACGCAGCGGATCTCAACCTGTGGATCGCGACCCCTTTGGGCGTGTAAGGCCATCGGAAAACACATATATAATTACATATTGTTTTTGTGACTAATCACTATGCTTTAATTATGTTCAATTTGTAACGATGAAATGGGGGGGGGGGAGTCACCACAACATGAGCTGTATTAAAGGGTCGCGGCATTAGGAAGGTTGAGAACCACGGCCCCAGAGGCTATTATGGAGCAAAGGGAAGCCCCATGGACCTGGAAGGACGCAGGTCCATGCGCCGGCGTCCCTCCGTCTGCCTCCGCATCAGGAAGATGTCAGAATCGGACCGGGTGACCCCTAGGTTCTTCACTTCAAAGTCCAGGGGGAAGGCTGTAAGCGGATCCCCTTCGTTCTGGGGTGCCCAGCCCCAGTTCCCTCCTCTCCACGCGGTCACAGGGGTCACTCGGCAGAAGAGGAAAGGATCGCAGCCGGGCCCGGACTCGACTGCAGCCGGTCCAGCGAGCCCAACCCCCTGCCCCAGGCCCGAGGCCGGGCTCCGGGAAACAGCAGTGCGTCGCCACACCATCCTCCCTCCCTCCGCCTCCGGAGTCAAACGGCTCCGCCTCCAAACAGTTTAGAACCCGGTCAGTTCCCTCCGTGCGGCGGCCTGAGGGATCCCACCAGCCGCTCCGGTCATCTGCCCGCCCGCGTTCACAGCTGCCCGGGGCCCAAATTCTTCCGTCAACATCACCCCTCCCGGCAGCAGGGTCAACCCCAGGCCTTCTTTCTGACCTTGGGGAGCCGGCAGCCCGGCACCCCGTTCCCCACCCTCCCCCCGGCCTCAAAGATGCACTAGGAGCTCCCACTCGAAGATCAGACATTCCTCCCCTCCCCCACCCTCCTAAATTTAGGACAGGGACGCTGGAGGGCCGGCGTCTCTCTTCCGGGACCGACCAGACTTCATTCCAAACAGAGAAAGATGGGGCGGGGGGAGATGGGGGAGTGGGGAGACCTGGACCCTGGAGTCCCTCCACCAGCACCCGCAGGGGTCAGGTGCCGAGACACTCACAGCCCGCTCCCCTCCTCCCCCTGACAATAACACCCGCAGGCCCGCGCTGGCTCGGACCCCGCTTCGAGCGCTCCACCGTCCAAGAAAGCGGAGAGGGGCCGGGAAGGAACGGGGGTCCCTCTGGTCTCACCTGGGGCGGAGGCGCTCGCTCATGGCAGCCGGTGGAGAGGAGGGAGGCGGCCTCGGTGCGACCCGTACCACTGCTACTTCCGGCGTCAGCTCCGCGCCCCCCCATGTCGCAGCCGCCGTGGTACCGCCCTCTTGCGGCTGCGCAGTGACGCGTCCCGGCCGCGCCGACCGGTAACCCCGCCCACGGGAAGAGGCGGGCTTGGAGGGGGAGGAGCTACTGAGAACCTCTGTGAGAAAAGGACCTCAGTAGAGGTGTCTGGAGCTTTCGCCTGGTCGCAGCCTAGCCGGGGGCAGTGTAAAAGTCGAGCCAGAGTTAAATGAAACTAACTTATATCATAATAATAAGAAATAAGTATTTGAGTTTAGGTCCCTGTGAGGTAACGATTTTTTAAAAAATAGCTGAGAAGCATCAGGCAGTTATGTAGACGCGACCGGGCGTTGGGAAGCTGCTCGTGGGTTGTTTTGGGGGTCTTGTCGCGGGGGCTTCCAGGACTTTAAGGTCTTGGGAGGTGAGGACGCTGGTCTAGGGGGGTCTCGACGGCGGGGTGCCTATGTCAGGGCGACTATCCTGAGCCGCGATCGGGTGGCGGGACAGATGGAGGGCTTTCCGGAGCCGCAGAATGAGCCCCCTTCGGCGTCCCAGCGGCTCCGGCGCCTCGGGCCAGGGCTGCGGGGAGGCCGGCCTCGGACCTGGAAGCTGCCTGGCGGTCCCCGCCCACTCCGCTGGAAGCTGCCAGACAGCTTTCCGGACCGTAAGGGAGCCGGGAGGCGGGACGGGGAAGGAAAGGTCCGCTGGAGAGCGCAGGCGGTGAGGGCGAAGATTAGGGTAACCTTGAGATCGGCCCGGTGCCCGGGAGGCGGGGGAAGTCTTAACTCCCTACTTCCCGAACACGGGAGGAGCACTGCCCCACTGATAACCCGGGGGTTTGCGTGCGGCTCAGCCGACCGGCTTCTCTGATGGTGTCTTGCACAGGCTGACGTGGAAACCTAATTTGATTCTGCTAAACTCGGGATCGGCGAGCGGGAAGCATGGGGATCCGGGAGAGACCACCGCAGAATTAGCACCCACGTACGGAAAGCAGCTCGGGTAAGAAAGCAGTTGTAAACTCGCGGTAAGACGTTCCCATCTGTGGATAAAGAGATTGTTCTAGCGACGTTAAGGGTGAGGGTGGAGTAAGGCGCAGGGACTGGCCTCACTTGTGTGTTTTTGTAAGTAAACGGCCCGTAACTTTCATCGTCTTGTCAAAGGGGTTGCCTCCAACTGTAAGTCTGTCGACAGGAAACAGCTTTGCCTGACTTCACGTGGCATCTGGTGGGTTGGTTACTTGGGTGATGCACGCAATGGCCAAGGTTACACTTCCTTATTTTTGTAAGCGGTTTCGGAAGCTCATGCTTTGACTCAGGGGTTAGAAGATATTCATACTTACAGCACTTGATAATGACACGTGTGTTTATGTGCAGAGAAAGTTTTCACTGAGCGAGTATCACATCCAGGCTCAGTACGAGGTTTTGAGAACACAGCTGTGCGCAGACTACACATGTCCTTGCCCCCCTGGAACTTACTGTTATGTTAAATGTTAGTAGAGCTTCGATTCTCATGCTTAGACAATGGGAGTTATATTTTCTCCTTGCACCTGTGGTTCTTCCATAGATTTCACTTTAGAAAGCATTGCTATAATCAACCACCTTCAGATCCTGGCCTGAGTTTTTTATTCTTCACCATTATTTGCTTGAATGATGTGTTTAAGGGTTTTTGACAATTTTTTCTTTTTACACTCATGTGATACCCAGTGGACTGGCTACAACCTTCAGTAGCAAACCTTTTATTCTGTTATTTGAACATCTTTTCCTCCCACTAACCATTAATTCATTAGATGGAAGTCGGTCTTCCTTACCTCCTAGTCAGGGATGTGGATTTGATTGTATTCTGCAAGGATTGCTTCCTAGAAGACTTCCTAATGTAAATTAAGTGGAACTGGGGATGCTTTTCTAAAAAGCAACCTGTGTCTTCTGTTTTCTACCTTCATAAGAAAAAGAATAGATTGAAACAAACTTTAAAAAATTATCTTTAACCTAGATAAATGATCTTTAACCAAGTGAATTTAAAAGGTATGAAATGTTGGCATTTACAAATTATGTGCTCCTTATAACCTCGTATATACCTTTTTCAGGTATAGGAGAGTGAGATTCCACCAGAATGGACGTGTGTCCTTACTGTAAGAAGCCATTTAAACGATTAAAATCCCATTTGCCACATTGTAAGATGATAAAACTAACTATACCTGCCAATCAAAATGTTTGTCAGTCTGAGCAGGCTACACTCCCACATGCTAAGAAAAGGAAAAGTCCAATCAAAGACTTAACTAAAGCTAAAGAGAGAGAGTTGGGGACAAAGAGTGAGAAAAGAAACAGTAAGTTGATGAGGGACAAACCAGAACGGACTGCTGAGCCCCTTCCACTACCAGCTATTGGTCTGGGAAGAGGAGGTGATACAAAGGCAAGTGATGACACCAAAAATCAAACTCAGCTCTCCCTCACAATGGCAAAAAATCCTGAACCAAAGATTACTTTCAAGGAAGAAGCTAAGGCTCAGTTTTATGCATTAAAGAACGCTACTCCTAAAAGGGAACTGGCAAAAGATTTGCCTCAATCAGGGGAGAGTAGAAGTTATCCGTCACAAACTAAAGCATCTTTACCTTTTGGCCCAATGGAACCTTCTTTGTCAAATCAAGATAGAAAATATTCTTCAGCCTTACCTAATGATGCACAAGCCACTTCTGCTACGTTAAACTTGGACACAACTGATCCCTCAAAACAGAAGCTTCTAGTAAAATTACTAGATATGCCGACTGGTGATTATCATAGTTCTCCCATGAAGCTCAATTATGGAGATGAAAGAGAAAGAACGTCGTATTCAAGTGATGCGAGAGAGTCCAAGGCCAAGGACCACCCCTCAGAAACGTATATTGATGTTAGAGACTCTGAGGAGAAAAAGAACACGGAATCACAAATTTTAGGTTTTCAAGTCAGCCCCTTAGGTAAAGTCCACGTCCAGGACAACCCGGGGAAAGGACTTGACCTTGGAGTAGAGGCATGTGGGAGCAAAGGACACACAAAGGAAAGTGTATCTGTGACGGAAATGCAGGCGTGCCCTTCCAGGAACGACAGCTCTGAGAACTTCAGTATGGATGCACCAGCCACAGAGAAGAAATCTCGAGGCGAAGGTCCCAGTTTAGAGTTGTTCATGCCAAGGCAGACGATTTGCAATGAATTTCTTTCTATATCACAGCCACATAATCAAAGTCTTGCGTCTCTGGCTATAAAATTTCTGCAAGAAGAGAAAGCAGCAGCCTGCGATCCTAATCGAGTCCTTGATGGAAAGGCATTGATGGAAAGGGAGGGGCAGGCCTTTCTGGAGCCCAAATCTGGCTGTGGGCCCCACACCTTACACCCTGAGTGCCCGCCGTCTTTACCTTCAACCCAGCATTGTACTTCTAAAACCCTCTTCACCAGGCAGATGGAAATTGCCGACCGGAAGACCCTTCATGGCTCCCTGGGGCTGGAGTGGTTTCCAGAGCTCTATCCCGGTTACCTTGGACTAGGTGTGTTGCCAGGGAAGCCTCAGTATTGGAATTCAATGTCCCAGAAGCCTCAGCTCATCAGTCCCCAGGGGGAAAGACTGTCACAAGGTAAATACGCTCCTTTTCCAGGGCCATCCCGCTCATACAAACTACTGTGTGCCTTTTGAAGTAATAAGATTCAGAATACTAATATTTTCCCCCAGTTAGCTTATTTTTTTTTTTTTCAGTTAGCTTATTTTTGCCTGGGCATTTAAGTGCCCTGGACTTAGGGTTGCTTTGAATATATTCTTTGACTATAAATACTTCTTGCTCCAAGGGTAACAGTGGTTTATCCCTCTCCCTTCCCCTCCACCAGTAGTTGAAAGCCAGGCTGGCTGGTGATGTGGATAGTTGAATTTCTACTCTGGGGAGGGACATGGCCAGTAGAAGAAATTGGGTGGGTATTCAAGCCGAACAGACTCAAGCATAAAGACTTTAGAGTCCACCTAAGAAGCAGCAGCACTGTTCAGATTTCAGTCACAAAATAGGTTCCAGGTTTATGGTTAAATGCAACACCTGGGAATCTAGAATAGCAAAGAAGGTACAAGCAGACACTGTCTTGGGATTTGGGGGCAGGATGAGCTTAAAACTAACTGTTCAGGGAGGCACGCCAGTCCAGGCAGATACCGGGGAAGTGTGGAGGGTTGGGAGAAGAGTACCAGGAATAGAGGGTGTTGCAAAAAAGGTGTGGAAGTCCACGAACTAGAAAAATTACTCCACAGAGAATAGGACCCAAGAAAGTCTCATTTTCCTCATCAGGAGGCTTTGGGTTTTTTCCCCTTTTTTAGGTTTTCTACAGGCAGAGTTAACTGTAGCATCCACTCTTTTTGGTGTATTCTATAAATGACCACATATTCACTAAACACCAATTTATCTGGTCTCAAAAGCATTTTCTGTTGTATTTTAAATTATCCCTTTCTAAAGATTTTAAAATGGAAGAACATTAGGTAAAGAGTGTTAGCTGAAGCTCCATTTTCTTAACTGCCTCAGCAGTGACTGGTTTTTCTACAAGCAGTCTAACATCTGGGCTCTCTTCACCAAGTTATAGTCTCAAGCCCCTTCCCCATATTAAACGCGGGATGAATATTAACATTTGTGTTTGGTGGGTGTCAGAGTGCTTCGTCTATTTTCTTATTTTGGCCTCATCACTCTGAGAGGTGGGCAGTGACTTTATCTGTTTTGCACAGAGAGGATAAGTGATTTGTCCAAGGCTGTGCTGCCAGTAAATGATAGAGTTGCAAGTAGAACCCAGTCTCCTGAGGCCCAGTTTAATCCTTCCCACTAAACCATGTTGCAGAGAACATGCCATCACTAGAAACATAGGTGTTCATTATATCTCTGTGCTTCTCTGGTTTTCAGTTGCATAAGCATACAGCCCAGAGCAAATCTCTCTAGCATGTAGGACTTGTTTCCTTCTGTTCTACCTTTGATAGCACT